CTTCTCTGCAGCGCTAGGGGTCGGAATCGGGGTTCATGGTCCAGGGAAATACCCCCTTCCCTTTGCCGCTTGCCGGAGAGGACTGACAGCAAGGAGGGAGGACAGACGATTTCCGGTGGAACCGTGGCCAGGGCAGCGCGTAGAGGCATTAGGAGGGCAGGGGCAGGGTTTTGCCGCGGGCGACCGGGACCCGTTGTTTGACCACCCCCGCCGGCGTCTGGGTGCTGATCAGGGGCCGCTAAGGAGCTGCGTCCCGCTCAGGTCCTCTCTTTCCCAGGGCCCCGGGCCACCACCCTCCACCCACCTACCCGTCTCCTCTCTGGGGCAGTGCCTTGGCCTCTGTCCAATCCTGCCCGTGACTCCAGAAGGGCCGCCTTCGGAGCCTTTGGCCTTCATCGCCCCGTCTTTCCCTTCTCCCCAGCTTTGGAGGAGGCATCTTTCCTCCGGTTTCACTCGGGTCTCTGGCTAGCGGCAAAAGACGGGGGGCCTTTCCCCGACAGGCGGCCCTTCTGGGAGCGTGTCTCCCTAAGGGGGACCGAAACGAGAGAATCTTCTAAATGACAGGTCCCAAGTCCGGCCTCCTGGGGGCGGACTCGCGGCGAAGATTCCCTCTTTCCCTGGGACGGCCCCCTAGCCTTAGCTGGGCGGTGTTTATCTGTCTCCGCTCTCTTGGGGAGCGGGTGTGTTTCCGTTTGCACTCCCCGGAAGTTACCGCGGCGACTGATGCTCTCCAGGAAGCGGAATTGATCTCTCTGTGACGTAAGAGGCTTGGGATGGCCGCGAGTGAGAGGGTTTCCAAGGTCGGGGTGGGGAGAAAGGCTTGCGCACAGGGCCTGAGTTGCCCCCGGCGCGGGGAGACCCCGAGGGCTGGGCAGCCTTGTCTGCTGCCTGGAGCAACGGAGAGGAAGAGGGCGGACGCTGTACCGCGCCCGCCGCCAGGCGGAGGAAACTCTGAGAAGCCCCGAGGGAGTCTTCGCTCCAGGGGAGTATCAAGGGCTTCCAATTGCTCCTGCCACATATAAACTCATCTGCTGTATGTTTTCCTCATGTACATGTTCTTTACCCCTCACTTTCTTCCTCCCTAATTCTGCAGGTCTGGACAAGGCCTGGAAATCTGCATTTCCAACAAAATTCCTCCTTTCCGCGTTTGATTAAGCTGATAAACAGGGTTTACCTTATAACTGATTACCGTTATAAGTTACCCTAAAGTCATCTCACAGATATGCAATAAAGCCTGGGCAATGCTGTACATACAAGTTTGTCTCTCCATAGATGATGTGACTATAATGTAAAGAGGATGAAGACAGCCTTGGTACATACTCCACAGTCACCCCTGTACACACACGTTTTGCTTTCTGCAGGTGGTGCAAACCTTACATGAGGGAAGAGACTGAAAAGCGTTTAAGGGATTTTTCAAAGTTTAAAACTGCCAGGGCCACTTCATGATTCACCAGAGGAAATCCACAAAAAGGTACCATTCTGCTGGCCTGGGTGTTGTTCCCAGTTTCCTATCACCCTCTTCGTCTCTTTTCCACCTTCTCTTTAGCCTCCTTCCTACTTAAACATTTCTTACTGGGTAAAAGAGCAAGGTTGAAAGCACAAGGATGCCCAGAAGAAAAACTGCAAATACACTCTGCTTGGTTAAAATAAAGTACACTCAGCATCCCAGGTGAGGTATCTGCTGCCTCTGCATAGCCAAATGGACTTGGTCGTGGCAAAAGATACCTGCCCCCTTTTATTTTTCCTTCCATGGCCTGGTGGGTGTGGAGGCTGCTTTCCTCCTATTTAGTTCCTGAAGATTACTGGCTCTGGGCAGGAATTGGGCTGCTGAAGGCTTCTTTCTCTGGGCCAGTTTCTCTTTTGGATCACGCAGCTTCAGGCCCCTCCACAGACACATCATTTGCAGAGTGCTTCTAGATTTGCTTGACCCCCTAGAAATCCATCTGTTGTGTTACTCTCACTGATCCTGGTCATCAGAGTGGCTGTGTCTCTCCTTTCTCTGTCACCTTTGGCAGTGATCTGATGCCCCATTGTGTGTTCCCCATCACTGGGGTGTGTACCTCACCAGACTCAACTTGGGAGTCTTAACACTGTTTACTGGAGAGTGAAATGGAGGCTCCAGCAATTAAAGAGAGGGAGGTCTTGGTCTTATGCCGGTGCTACCTGGGACTCTTTGATAGGAGGGTAGCCTCTGCTTCCTGGTCCCCCTTCTCTGAAGGATCCCCTCAGAGAAGGCAGAGGATGGTCCAGGAAGGGGAAGGGGTGGGCTCTGGGGACCCTTTGGGCCTTGAAGGTTAAACTTGGAGCTTTGGGAAATTTTCAGCAGGCCAAGATTCAACTGTGCACTTAAATTCTGTAGAGATGGAGAATGTCCAGCTTCCCTTTTCCCCCTCTTCACAAACCTATAATCCTTCCAGTGTTTCCACCAACATACCTCTCATGAACATACACTGTGTGCCAGGAACTCTGGTGGGTGGTGTGGGGATCCTGATGGAACAAACAGATCTCTTTGAGAGCATCTTGGAGGAAATGGCATTAATTACGGTACCAGGGAGGAAGAGCTCAGCACATGAAGTGGTTCAAATTAAATGGTATGAAACTGGGCAGCTTTGTGCACAAGAGATAAAGCAGTGTTGAAGACAGTGGACATGTATCCTCAGGCCTAAAACACAGTCTTTCAACTAGTTTACGAATCTGGAAGTGGCTCCCACTTTCCTGCTCTGCGAAGAGTACTAAGTTTAACTTCTGCCTGTCTCCATTCCATTCAACATGGGCATGTGTACTTTTCCATCATTGATCCCATGAGGTCCCTAAATCAAAGGGCCAAGAAAGGCCGGCAGAAAGGGTACCTGGATTTCTGGCAGACAATTTCCCCGAAGGAGCCCTTAGCAGACTTGGCTGCATTCAGGGAGTTCCTTTGAGGGCAATGAAACAGAAGTTCACCATGTGCTTATTAGAGGTTGCAGCCTGCTAAAAATTGATGGGGCACGTTACCCAGAAACATCTAGCTATTTCCTTTGCCAGCCACAAGCATATAAGTTGAAAGGTCTGAGGGAGATCACTTCGTCTTCCCTTCCTTCCTCCCTTCTCCCTCCTTGCCCATCTCTCTCTTTCTTGACAGGTGTCGGAGGCCGAAGTTGGGGGGAAGGTTGTTCAAGCCCCCCCATTTTAACAGAATGAGGAAGAGAGAAGCTCTACACCAGATAACTAATCAGAGACGTTGTTTTTGCTTTGGTAGTTACTCTAAGGAAAAAACTGTCTTGGGGGCGGGGATGAGGGGGTGGGGATTGAATCCGAGCAAATTTTAAAACGCAGCCTGGCACAGCTCCAGTGCGAGCATTCGTTAGGTAAACGGTGGTTTACCTATCCCGCGGAATGCTCCAGAGAAGTGAGCACGTGAGGACAGTGCTAACGCCGGCGGTCTCCAGGCTAGCGGCAGAGCGAGAGGTGTTTCAGTGGCTTGACTAAGGGCAGAGCGCGGGTCCCCCACTCCCTGGGGATCCACGGCGCCTTGCTTGCCGGGGCCCAGGGTCCACCCCACCCTCCCAGCGTGGAGGCAGTGCCATCTGCGAGCTCCCAGCGCCGATCTCACGCACCCATTTTTCCAACCACCACCCCTCCTCAAAGCGAAGAGGTGGGCGCCTGGCATGCGCGTCCTGCTTCTTCTGCCCAGGCTCTCCCGTCTCCTCCACTTTTGCGCCCGACATCCCAGGACAGCGGAGCAGGACACGACCCTGGGAGGGCGCAGCCTGCGCGCCTCGAGCGCGCTCAGGGCTCGGCGAGGATGCTTAGCTGACTGCAATGGCCGGGATGCAGACCCCAGCTCAAATCCCTGAGAAGAATATCCTCCTCCCCTTCCTTCTGTCTCCCTTCTCCTGCCCGGCTCTGCCCAGCTCAGCGCCGCTCCTCTCCAGCTCGGACACGGGTACTAAGCGATCCTTCGCGCGCCACTTTGCGAGGAACTTTGGCCGCCTGCCCTGCGCCAGCCGGAGAGGGATGTTGACGAGGGAGCGTGACCCTGCGCTAAGAGCCGGCAGGCTCCTGCGCCGCGATTGGCTGCGGCGAGGCGGAAGGATGGCGTTATGCAAATGAATGGGCGGGCCCTCGCCGCGCGGGCCCCGCCTCCTCCCCTTGGGGTTGGTGTGCTTGTGTTTAGCTCCGGGGAGAGTCAAACTGGATTCCACAGGGAAAGCCTGCAAGTCACTTCTATTTTAGCAAGGAGAAAACAGAATCTCCGTTCAACAGGGTCCACCTCTCTCTCTCTCCCTCTCTCCTTTCCTCTCTGTCTTT